AGGCAGTGTCGACCCCACCTGGAGTCTTCTCTCCACAGGGGCCGCCTCCCCACAGGGCCCCTCAACACCACAGGCAGCCTCGACCCCACAGGGAACCTCAGCACCCGGCCTGCTTAGACGGGGTCCGTGCCAAGGAAGCGCCTCTACCCGGTCTCCTGGCAGCAGGGTCCCCACAGCCCGCGTGTCTGGGGCAGGCCCCGGGGCCTGGTGCGTCACTTGCCAGCCGTCCCACGGGGGGCTGTGTCCGGGGAGGCAGGGAGCCAGCTTCACAGACACCCGGCCGGGGCCCTGGGGGAGGGCGGCTCAGCTTCCCTGTGGACCACGCACCCCCCAGGACCCCTCAGGAGGCCCGGTGGCACCCTCCCCGTCTTGGCTTCCGTGGCCCCAGGTCCACCCAGAGCCACGAACAAGGACATGAGTGCCCTGGGGTGCTGCGGGACTGACTCTGGCCCTGGCCTCAGACCCAGAGTCCTGGGGTACCCAGGAGGTGAGCTTCCTCTGTCGCTGGGAAGCCCCTGCCTGCCGCCAGCCTGGGCCCCGCCTCACCTTGGTGGTGAAGGAGGCCGTCTTCCCGTAGTGGTTCAGCATCTGGTCGCCCGTCAGGCTGTGGTAGTCGATGACGTCCCTCTTGATGGTCCACAGGAAGTAGGGTGTCTCGTTCTTTACCAGCCTGGACTGGCAAGAGAAAGCCCTCTGTCGATGCCTGGCATTCGAAGCCACGGAAGGCTCAGAGAGGGTGCGGCTCAGACGTTCTGGGATATGCACACACAGGTTCCAGCTGCTTTGACACACACGCTTTGAGGGGACCGTAGCCCCATGGGGTCTGCTCTGGAGGAGAAAGCTGGGGCCCTCAGACTCTGGGCTGCCTCCCTGACCTGGGGCTACAAGCAGGGTCTGAGCCCTCCGCATGGGTGTCTTTGTGGGCCGGGTCACGCGCGTGCCGATGTGGGTGACATGACGCTTCGTGACCTGGGAGCGTGCAGTGCTCCCTTGCACCCCAGCCCATGAAGCTGGGATGGAGGCCCGCGGGGAGCCTGGGGAACGACGCGTGGGTGCTTTTCTGTTTGCAACGATGGCACGTGAGTGGTCAAAGTTCTAACCACACAATAGATCCAGGAAAGGGAAACATTCTCTGAAATCCTACCCCCAAGGGATTAACCCTGGCCTGATGGCTTGGTGAGGATGCTTGGGGACATCTCCGCAGACAAGCTCGTGTGGACATGTGAACATGAGAACACGCGTGCGCGTGCACGGTGACATGCAACGTTCCACGGCATGGATGGCCCCACCTGGGTCCCACAAGGAATCTCCTCTCCATAGGGGGGCCTCTTCCCCACAGGGACCCTCAACCCCACAGGAAGCTTCAACCCCACAGGGAACCTCAGCACCTGGCCTGCTCAGACGGGGTCCCCTGTGCCAAGGAAGTGCCTCTATCCAGTCACCTGGCAGCGGGTGAGTGTGGCCAGTCTGGGGCCTTGTCCTGCTGTGCCAGGCAGAGGCCAGGGAGGGCCAGGCCAACGCCACCCCAACCCTCAGGTGGCCTCTTCCTCCCCATAGAGTGACACCCACAGCATCTGCTGTTGCCTTCAGGTGGTCCCAGTTTTTATTTATTCAATTTAATTTTTTTGAGTTGGAGTTGCACTCTGTCACCCAGGCTAGAGTGCAGTGGCACTCTCACAGCCACCCCAGCGTCGACCTGCTGGGTTCTGGCGATCCTTCCACTTCAGCCTTTCAAGTCGCTGGAACTACAGATGCACACTATCTCGCCTGGCTAATTTTTTTTTTATTGTAGAGATGAGGTCTGGCCAAGTTGCCTGGGCTGGTCTCAAACCCGCGAGCTTAGGCAATCCTCTCGCCTTGGCCTCCCAAAGTGCTGGAATGACAGAATGAGCCACCGAGCCCGGCCCGTTTTATTTTTTACTTTTATTTATTTTATTTTATTTAAGATGGGGAGTGCAATTCAAGATTAAGTAGATAGGTGATCATCGTACAGGTAAAGTTTGGGCCTCCCTTTGGACCCCAGATCCCTTGGTTTGAGATCAGGTGCCCTTATGAGTGTTACGTGCCCCGCTTTTAAAGCATGCTGTGAATGCAACATGTGAGGAGCGGCATGCTCACCTCTGTGCTGGGTTGAGGCATGGCGTCGGGAGGGAGCCCGAGTTCCCACCCGTCACTGCCAGCACCCGCCGCATCTGGCCTCCTTCCACAGGCCACGTGTGGAACGTTTCTGTCCAGTGAAACACATCCATAGGAATCCCCACCCCTGGGTTGACAGTGTTCAGAGGAGGCACCTTTGGGTTAGGCTTGAGGGAGGGGCTCTCGTGGGGGCATGGTGTTCTCTCCCGCCACCTCCAAGAGACCCTGCCTTCCTTCCCACACGAGGACACACGAGAAGCCCGCCCCCAAGCCAGGAAGCCCAGCACACCGCAGCCTCCAGAACAGTGGAGAACCACATGTGTCCTGCATAGGCCCCACCCCGGGACCGCTGGCGCACCCGCGTGTCACCCATGCTCCATCCTGGACGAGAACGCCACTCCACACACTCCCACAATGCACTCTCACCTCCTGCGTGGCCTGTGCATGCCTCTGCCCGTTGCCCGCAGTCTGTCACTGATTTGCCAGTGCTTTGTGGACTCTGGACATTTGGGCTTTTAAACCAGCAGTCCCCAATCTTTTTGGCATCAGGGGCCAGCTTTGTGGAAGACTGCGAGGGAGGTTGGTTTCAGGATGACTCAAGAACATCCCCTTCACTGGGTACGTCATTGCTAGGTCTCTAGTGCACGCAGTCACCCTAGGGTTTGGGCTCTTTGCAATGCTAATGCCACTGCTGAGCTGGCAGGAGGCAGAGCCCAGGCGGTCGTGCCCGCAGTGGGGAGCAGCAGGCAACACAGATGGAGCCCACCGCTTGCCTCCTGCTGCGTGGCCCGGCTCCCGCCAGGCCACAGGCCAGTCCTGTGGGTTGCGGAACCCTGTTTTAAAGGACGCGTGCCGCAATCATCTCCCCCCTCTGGGGCACCTCCTCGCCTGCCCTGTTCCGGGGCCGCAGCTGGGGAGCCAGGCTGGGAAGAAGCTGGTGCAGAGATGTGGTCAAGTTGCCCGAGACCCTGCAGGGCACCCCCAGCTTCGACCCCACCCACCTGATGCCCCTGGGCCCCCTCAAGCACAGGCTGGCCATGGGTGCAGGGGTCGGGGCACCAGGGCCCACCCTTGCCCGGCCACCTCTGGCACCCACGGGCTTGCCTCATGGTCACTCCAGTGATGCCACCCGGGCTGTGGTTGTCGCCCCCGTGACACAGGCCCGGCAAACAGCCGGGGGGGGGACAGATGAGACCCTGGCCGGCCCCCCACAACCCACGCACGCATGCACGTACCATCACCTCGTGGATGTCCTCAATATTCTCCAGAGCCACGTCTTTATCTGCAGAGGAAAGAGGGGCGGCCTGAGTCCTGGCACGACAGACCCAAGCACCGTGTCACCTGGCTTCCCAGCCCTGTCTCTCTGGGCGAGGCCTCCCCAGGTGAGCAGGTGCCTTGCGAATCCCGAGCCAGACTCGTGCCTTGTGGCCCCACTTTCCTGTCCCGCGAGTGTCCACACACAGGACCCTGGGACCCGGGTCCTCAGAGGCACCTGGACGCAGGGTGGTGGGGACAGCCTGAGGCGGGTGTGAGGGAGAGCATGGGAAACCGGACGGAGTGGGGGCCGCGGGCGTTTCTTTGGATCTCCGTGGGGCCACGAGGATACAGACGCCACAGTGCAGGGGGTCGGGGACCCGCCGGCATTGTAAGGGGAGGAGGCTGCGGGCCACACTGATGGGTAGACTGGTAGAGACCTGGGTGTGGGCACGGGACACCGAGGAGGGACCACAGCCAGGCATGTGGTAGGTTGGCTCTGCATATGCCTGGGCTGAGGGCTGGGACTGGACAGAGATGGGGCCAGAGAGACTCCACCCTGGGACTAGGGGTGGGTGTCACAGGCCGGGTGAGACCATCCAGGGGCCAGAGAGACCTCACCACAGGGATTGGGGTGGGCACCACAGGACAGGTGAGACACAGTCCGGGGGCCAGAGAGATCCCACCACGGGACTAAGGGTGGGTGTCACAGGCTGGGTGAGACCATCCGGGGGCCAGAGAGACCCCACTGTGGGGACCAGGGCCAGGCCACAGGAGATGCTGCCAAGCCAGGAGACACGCCCTGCATGACGGACACACCCGCAGCCATCGGCAAGCTCACCTGCGTCCTCCACGCCCGGGGCACCCTTGGGCAGAGAGGGCAGCTTCTTCTCCACCCAGCCCTTCCTGCGCAGGGCGGCGCGGACCACTGGGTAGTGCCCGTAGATGGAGAAGATTTTCTTGTCCTGAATGGCAAGAACGTGATTCACATAGGAGCCGGAAAAGGAGACCACGACCTCCTCCGGAGGCGTTTCCAGGGCAGACGCAGCCGGCATGAGGCACACTCAGAGCCCGACACCCGGGAGCACAGGCGAGTGTGTGTGCCGTGCTGGGCCATGTGTGCGTGTGTGCAGGGGCTGAGGATGGGGCTGCTGTGTCCTCTTCAACCTGGGGCCCGGGGCGCAGAAGTGCTCACACGCACACACTCACACCACTCACACACATTCACACTCACACTAACAACATGCACTTGCACAACTCACATTCATGTGCTCACACACAGCTGACACTCACTCTCAGACTCACAGTCACATGCTCACACACTCACACATACAACGTACACAAAGACACACCACATGCACACATACCACTCACACACATACCACTCACACACATGCTCTAAAGCACACTCACAGTCAGATGTTCATACTCACACGCATACAACTTGCAAACACACTTGCACACAGGATTTACGCAAACACGCTCAACTTGCACACATACACACACCACTCATACTCACACATACAGCGTACACACTCCACACACTCTCACACACCCATAGTCAGTCACATGTTCATACACTCACATACAACTTACACCCGTACACACTCACACTTGCACACACACCACTCACCCTCATGCACACAGTTCACACACATGCTCAGTGACATGTTCGTACACTCGCACACACTCTCACTCGCAGTCACAGGCGCAGGCCACAGAGGCCACAGCACAACCAGGCAGGCACACTTTTTGAGACGCAGTCGGGAGCAGCACAGTGAGAGGGTCGGGCAACAGGCACGGCCGCGCAGGGCTGTGGGTCCCGTGATAGGCACCCAGGGCTTCTGTCCTGCATGCCTTCCTCCTCGCTGCGAAGGTGGCCACACCTCTGGGCTGGGGGCGCTGGGAGACGTGGGGCGAGGGGCTGCCACCTGCTTCTGACTCGGGGCGTTGTAGCTGGTGAGATGGGTTACGCTCCGGGGCCACAGACACAGCTGCGGTCGCAGGACTTTTGCAGATGCAGTGGAAGTCACTGTCAAGCAGGGTCACACGGACACAGAGGCAGACGTCCCTGGGCGGGCCTGGCCTGAGGGGGCAAGCCCTTAACAGAGGCACAGGGCTTCTCCGGTGTTAGAGACACACCCAGCAGAGATTCCCACAGCCGCGGGCTCTGGAGACGCCACCACCGGGAGAGGGAGCCCTCAAGGGAGCACAGCCTCCCGCGGCACGTGGCTTTGCCCGAAGGTCAGCCTGGAGGTGCCGGCGAGGACCCACCTGAGAGCTTGGCGGCCGCCACTCACTCTCACACGCACTCACACACCACAAGGACGCTGCTGGTGGCCATGGTCTTGGCAACCAGCAGACACGAGCGCCTGCCTTGTCTCCTCCTCCTCACCCCATGCTCGGGCTCAGAGCAGAGGCCGCCCTCCTCCTCAGGAGAGGACTTGCCCACACCCAGGCAGGAGGTACGGCCTCTCTCCCCGGGGGACAGGTGCCCCATACAAGCTCCCAGAGCCATCCTTTTGGGGCTCCTCTCCTGAAACACAAACCCCTCTGCACACACACAGGCGGAGGCACCATGCATGACACCAAGGGACCCGGGATGTGGGAGCCAGCTCAAGAAAGAGGTCCTTTGAGTGACGGGGAGTCCGTCTCTGACCCAGAAGCCTCGTGCTGACCGCCCGGACACGCCGAGAGGCAGAGAGAGCCGAGACAGGTCCCCCACCCTACAGACACCGGCGGCCCTGGGGTGGGAGGCAGAGAAGTGTCGCTGTTCCCAACGCATGGCTGAAGAACAAGCAGCTCCGGCCAGGCCTTCGTGGGATGAGTCCCAGGCAGCTCGCTGGGAGGGCGCCAGCGGCCGGACGACACTCCCAAGTCCAAAGCAAATGTCCCTGTTTGGAAAGCCGCCCCTCCAAGTCCTGAGGAGACGTACCCTGACTGCTTTTTCCACTAGTTGCCGTGCTATTTTGCATCTGTCTAGCTTGGGTGAAGAAGCCAAGTCTTGGGAAACTCCTCGTTTTGATTCTGCCAAAGAGAAACAGGACGTCAAGGCAGATGACCGGGCAGCCGCGCCCGGGGCTGGTGACACACCCCGTGCATGACTCCAGGGCACCGTTGGCAGTTGCCACACCCACCCCAGCTGGCTGTTTCAGGGGCCTGTGCCGCTGCCCCCGTCCACTCCACCGCCTACCCAGACTGCCCCCGCCCCTCCTCTGCGCCCCAACCCTGCCCTGACACACTGGCCTGGGGACCCTCTGCCCTCACTGGGCTCCACGCAGCTGCCTGGTCTCTCAAGCCTGTGGCCTGGGGGGGCCTCCAGCCCTCCCTGGGGCAGCCGGGATCCCCCCGCCCCAGCAGGACCGGAGCCGGCCACCTCTCCACCCAACGCCCTCCCTGCTCCTGGTCCCTCTCGGCCCCTCTCGGCCACGGCACCCAGGGCTCCCGCGAGCTCATACCAGGTGGTCAGCCTCCACCTAAAAATCCAAATCAAAGCCTCCCCCCGGCCCAAGCGTCTGCTGCCGTCCCCAGAGCCCATGTCCAGTGGCTCCACAGGGCACCGCCCCGGCCAAGGTCCCGTGTGTGCAGCCAACTCATGGCCACTCTCTGGCCCTGCCCTGCCCTCTCTGCTGCTCTTTGCCTCCTGCAGCCCTCAGGGTGGAAGCCCTCAGGCCCGGGGCACACTGGCTGCCACTCCCTGGGCTCAGCAGACAGCCCAGCAGCTGCCCCTGGGGTGTGTGAATTCCACCCAGAGCCCCTGGCCCCCCACACCCCGGACACTCCGGGAGCACTCTGAGTGCCACCAGCCTCATACAGGCTGCTCTCCACCCCGTGAACCCCAGAAGCCACGTCCATCTGTCCAGGCGATTTAGACTAAAGCTCCAAGCAGCTCAACACAGCTGGGATGGCGCGAGAACCGCTGTGTGTCTGTGTGGAACCTGCAAACCCCGTGGCCTGGTAGCACCTAAGGTGTGTGAAGGCAGACACAGGAGGGAATGGAAGACCCCTTTGCAGCTCGGGCCGGACAGAGTCTCCACAGATGGCACAAAAAGCCCCCGTGAAGCTAGTTCAGCGGGGGACACTGGGCTCCGTCAGACTGAGGTGTTCCACCTTGTTAGGAAAATGGAAGGTGAACTGCAGATGAGGAAACAGGCACAAAACGACCAGATGATGAGCACCAGGGCTGGCCACCCGCTTCCACCGTCAGGGAAGGGCCCAAAGCAGCGAGGGTTTGGCTGGAAAGGGGCCCAGCACTCTGTGGGGTAGACACGCCCCGACGGCGCTGTCTTGACCGCGCAGCAGAGGTCAGCCAGTGGGGCGTCATTCAACCCACAGTCATGCAGTCATGGGGCACAGCGTCCGCAACGGGCGGACAAACGAGAACAAAGCCTGTGAGGACCAGGACCCGGACGAGGCCCTGAGAGCCAACGACTGTGTGTGGGCATCCCCCGGCCCCCGGCATCAGCCACCTCTGTGACTCCAAGCCCAGGGACAGTTGCCGAAACCCACTAACAGAAGGTCTTGACAAGCTTCAGAGGGTGTGAATCCGATGGCACACACCTACCACAGGGCAGTTAAGTTAGAAATCAGTAATAGAACAAACAGAAAATGACCGTACGTTTGCAAAGCAGCAAATATTCTTCTGCATAATCCAGGGGTCAAGAGGAAATCAAAATGAAAAGTAACCTGTATTTTTCAACTAAATTATCACAAAAATGCCAGCAATCAAATCTCGTGGGATGCATTTTAAACTGTATTTAATACAACTAGAAATGTTTAGCTGTATATGAATCTGTTAGAAACCAATGAAGGCTAAAGAATGAGCTAAGCTTCAATTTCAGGAAAGAAGAAAGAGCACAGTAGATTAGATGGGGGACATCATTAATTATTAAATTGGTATTAAAATGATATGATGAGCCGGGCTCAGTGGCTCAGCCTGTAATCCCGTGCCTTTGGGAGGCTGAGGTGAGTGGATTGCCTGAGCCCGCGGGTTCGAGACCCGCCTGGGCAGCGAGTCCTCATCTCTACCATAAATCAAAAAATCAACTGGACGTGGTAGCACATGCCTGTAATTCTGGCTACTCGGAAGGCTGAGGTGGAAGGATCGCCGGAGCCCAGCAGGTCGAGGCTGCGGTGGCCGGGAGCGGCCACTGCACTCCAGTCTGGGCGACAGAGTGAGACTCCAACTCAAAAAATAAAAAAATAAAAAATAAAATGAAATAAAATAAAACGTTATCCAAAATAAAAACACAGCACACATGGTCACAAGTCAATCTTGCCAAACATTTAAGAGAAAAAATACCTTGCACAGACCCTTTCATTAAATGGGAAAATAAGAAAATTCAACTCTTTTTACGAGGTCCTCAATGGGAGACATGAGAAGAATGCCACAAAAAAGGAAGAGCACAGGCCAGTCTCCTCATAAAAGTAAACACATTTGCACACCAAACCCAGTGACATAGGGGAAAAAAAAACAATATGACCCCACGGGGTTTATTCCAAGATTGCAAAGTTGGTTTAACGTTTGAAAATCTGTCAATATAATCCACGATTAGTAGGTAAAAGGGAAAAGGACATACCATCTCAACAGAAGAAAGCATGTGGTGACTTGTCATTTAAAAGCGCACCGGGAGCTGGGAAGAAAAGAAAACTTACTCTAATGCCTGTGGCAGCCTCACCCTTCAGAGTGACATAGGGAGTCTTTCCCCTTGAATCTGGGAGCAAAGCAAGCATGTTCAGTCCACCACGTCCATCTAATTTTCCACCGATGCAAGAAAGGGAATGAGAGGCATGCAGATCGAAAAGATTTGTAGGTGACAGTTGTGTATGCAGAAAGCCTAACCGAATCTAAAAGCTACTAGAATTAATACACATATTTAATAAGGCCACCCAATACCAAGTCAGTACACTAAAATAACTTGCCTTTCTATATCCCTCCAAAATTGGAAAATGACATTTAAGACGTCATCTATAATATATTTAAAAAATCATATCTAGCATTGGTTTTTGTTTTTGCTTTTGTTTTGAGTTGGAATCTCACTCTACAACCCAAGCTGGAGTGCAGTGGCATGCTCATGGCCACTGCAGCCCCTACCTGCTGGGCTCAGGTAATCCTTCTGCCTCATCCTTCCAAGTAGCTGGAACTACAGGCATGCACCACCATGCCAAGCTAAGTTTTTGATTTATTGTAGAGACGAGATCTTGCCAAGTTGCCCAGGCTGGTCTCAAACCCCTGGACTCAGGCAGTCCTCTCACCTCCACCTCCCAAAGTGCTGGGATGACAGGTAGGTGTGAGCCACTGAACCCGGTGCTCTAACATTGTTAAGATGTTAATTCTCTGCCAAACTGTTGTAAAGATTCAATGTAATCACAGTTCAAATCCCAGTAAGATTTGTGTGTGTGTGTGTGTGTGTGTGTGTGTGTGTGTGTGTGTGTGTGTGTGTATTAACAATTTTATTCTAAAATTTAAATGAAATTCCAAAAGTGCAAGAAAACCTAAATGACCCTTAAGAACAAGGGCAGAGGACTTATACTACCAGGTCCAGGTAGTAAGACATTAGAAAACGACAGGAATTAAGACAGAGTGGTATGGAATAAGGATGGACAGAAAGGTCAATAGAACAGCATGGAGAACCCCAAAACAGACCTGTGCCTGTCCTCAGAGTGACACTGCCAGGCAACTGGGTACGGGGTGGACGGGGTGGGGTGAACGGGGTGGGGTGGACGGGGTGGGGTGAACATTGACCCACAGACTTGCTGCATAGAAAACACTCCATCCCAGGGGGCATGGATCTAAATGTGAAAAGTGAAATTGTGAAGTTTCCAAAAGAAGACACAGGATATCATCTTCTGGACAACAGAAAAGGCAAAGATTTCCTAAATAAGACACAGAATGCTCTAAATGTGGAAGAAGAAATCAACAATTAGACCACACTGAAATGAATATGCTTTGATTGTCAAAAGGAACCATTCATTGACTGACAAGGCCAGCGGTGCATAAATATGTCTGTCTGACCAAGAGCAGGCATCCGGAGTGCGCAAAGAATTCCTACAAGTCAGTAAGATTCCCAACCCAGCCCATAATCGGGGCGGCGCTCCATGAAAGAGGTGCTCCAACAGCCGACAACCACGTGGCCAGGGCGCCACACCACCAGTTATGGGAAATACACAGTGAGATGCCCACGTCCCTGCAGGGCACCCAAGGGACAGCGGCAACACTGACGACTGGCATGGGCAGGCAGCCCTGGAGTGTCCTCCCTGCAGATTAACGACTGGGAGGGAGATGCCCACCCATAGCCTGGCCATAGTACTCCTGAGTGGAATTAATATTTAGCTCGCAAATGAACCCACGGCTGACACCCGGCAAGAGCAGGCTTTTGCTAGAAGAGAAGGGCTCTCTGTGACCCACCAGAAGAGCCCTTCATGTGTCGGCGTTCGTTGTCCAGTATCCCAGGAAGGAAGCTGACCAGTGGGCAAGGAGGACAGGAGCCTGCATGCCCAGAGCCCCACGGGGCCTCTCTTAGACGGCCCGGAAAATGCACCTGCTTCTGTGGACTTAGGCCACCCTGGCCTGATCTCATCACAGCTGACCATGGCCTGGACAGCCTGTCTGCGAGCTAAGGGCTCCTGGCAAGGGGATGGGGACGAGTGATACACACTGTTTTCTCCTCTCTCCTCTTCATCCAATGGTGTGAACAGGAGCCTCGTCCTCTCGGGCTCCCTGCAGGCCTCGGTCGGCAGGCTCTTCCTTCCTCCAGGCTCTGTGAGGAGGAGATGGGCAAACCAAGAGGGTGTGAGGAGCTGGACAGCCAAGGGCTCCTGAGGGGCGGGTCCAAACCACATGTCGGAGTCGGGAGGGTTTGCACTGCAGAGGAAGGTCTGGGCTAGGGGCAGGTCTGGGTGTGGGAGTACAGGTCTAGGTTGAGGGAACAAGTCTGGACTGGAGAGCAGGTCTAGGTGAGGATAGAGTGTGCTGTCCTCAGTCAGGCTACAGGTTTGGGATGGAAGAAGGAAGAGGTCTGACTTGGACATACAGACCAAGGTTGGCAATTCAGGTGTACATTAGAGTACAGGGATTGGATGGGTGTGAGTATGGGTAGGGGTACCGGATAGAATGGAAGCAAGTGTTGCTCAAGATATGGGTGTGAATTACAGGTACAGATGTGGGTGAGTGTACAGTTATGAGTCGGGGTACAGGGCTTCCAAGGTTGCTGGTGTTGGTTAAGGTATAGGATTAGGTTGGGGGTACAGGTATATGATAGGGCATAGAACTTGGAAGGGTTCAGGTGTTGGAAAGGGTAAAAGAGTGGGCTGGGGGAAGAGGTATTTTATGGGGTACAAATCTTGGAAGGGTGCAGGCATTGGTTAGGTTGAAGACCAGGTGGGAGTACCAGAGTTTGGAAAGGCGCAGTATTGATAAGCATTCAGGATGGGGTTCGAGGTACAAGTATGTGAAAGGGTTCAGGGCTAGGAAGGGTTCAAGTGTTGGGAAGGGTACAGGATTGGACTGGGGGTACAGGTTTATGATAGGATACAGGG